GGTATACATTACATTCGTAGTAATCCATGTGTTACATTAATATACATGTGTTTGTTGGTATGCATACCTTCATGTGTACTGGTGTGCACACGTTCATTGGTATACATGAACTCATTGGTATACATACCTCATTGATACACATGTGTTCGTTGGTATTCATGTGTTCATTACTATACATGTACGTTCATTGTTGTACACGCGTTCATTACTATACATGTGTTCACTGGTATAAATGTCTTCATTATTATGAATACAATGATTGGAGTGCATGCGTTCACTGGTATAAGTGTGTTTGTATGTATGCCTACCTTTATTGCTATGCATGAGAACGAGAATTAGTGCTATTGAGTACCCTAGCATGTGAATGCTAGGATGCCCCACATTGCAGGATGAAAGCGTTATTGAATTAAGGGAACCGCTTAACAATGAAAGTATTGAGACCATGCCGAACAAGATAAATCACAACAGCTCGAAGAGTGGAGGGTCAGACTCACAGTTTTGTGAGTTTTTTTTAAGTCCCCAGATACGAGGGCACCTTTCCAGAAAAGTGATTGCGCCGCAGGGTCCTGAACAGTGGTCACGGGGACATGGGGGTTATGTGCCATCCAAGGGCCGTGTGAACACTTCATAAACAAATTCTACCAAGTTCTCTACCTGCTTGTATCAAAATATTTCATATTGTTGTATACAGAGAACATTTGTCCAAGCCTCGAAGATTGTAAATGATGATAATCAGAACCTGAGAGCGTTCTATTGATTAGCTTTGAACACCTTGACAACAGGCAATGCCAAACGGTGGCCACACTGAGCAAATGCAGTTCAACAGCCTTAATGTGCACTGACTAAGATATCGGAATGCTGAGTGCCTATGCTATGTTTGTCTGGCCTGGATAGAAGTGTGGACTTACAAAGTAATGAGATTTGTTAAACTTGACATGCACTCAGGAATGGGCCCGTCGAAGCTGTTTTCCCCCAGCATTCTGTCATTCAGAGACAAGGCAAATCGAGCGCATTGCAAAACACCTTTGAAGCTACGTCACGCGCAAGTATAAGAGTGGAGTGATATTTCAGGATGGACGGCAGGTCCACAATGGGTGATTAGTAGATAGCATATTCTGGGCTGATGCAGTACACACGTGGATGAGTGCTGAAAGAACGATCCAAAGGTAGGAACTGTTAAAAAAAATGAATCCATGCAACACCAGGAGTAGGAAGGAAGGGATGGTGTGTTCAGCAGTCACAGCCTCCCTCAGACAATGGAAGAAGCGCACTCACAGGCAGGTCAGACCCGTCATGTCACAAATCCATTGTGGGATCTGACCAGTGAATGCATTCGCACCAATGTCCCTGTAACAGCAGCAGTTGATGCACATATCATAGGCGGTCAAGAAACATTTTCAAAAGAAAAATAGAATCACTAGCAGACAGCTTGTACTCGTTCGGGCAACTGAATCCTACTCATGGAGGAAATGCCATAGCATCTATGCTAACGCACACTCGAAACAGCATGAATGAAGCACACATCCCATATTCCAACCAGTGTTTTGATCGCCATCTTGCTGAGATTTTCTCCGAGGATCTTCCTGTACAAACCACGGCATGGCCCCTCATCTACATTGTCCTCTCCAACTAACTCATACAACGTACAACGCCTTCTTCCCTAACCGGATTCACTCTCAATCCTTAAAGCGAGGAAATTTGCCTTTCAAAAACCAATAACGGAAACAGCGCTCACACAACACCGAAGGTAAAATCTAGCAAGCAAACCACGGCACTCACAATTTTTTCAATAGAGTTAATCCTGAAACGGCTCCTGGCAGGTTGCCTTTGAACAAATTACTCCACAAACTCCTGTGACGTGAGCTCATAAAAGCATAAGGAAGGATGAGAAATGCATGAGAAAAGGCTGGCACTTGGCCAAATTTTGAAATGCAAATGGAGAGAATTCAGTTCAGGACAGTATGATTACAGAACGCATGGCACGAACGAATCTTCAATGTGGGTGAATAAATATACATATACAGATGGACCAAATATCGAACCCATCTTTTAGTGGGGTGCCTGGCCTGGAGGTGGAACTCTAATGCCGTGAATAGGATGAAAGGAAGTACACACACGATCAGACTATTGAAACCATCTCAAAGAGGACGGCCGAGTGGTTCTGTTGTAAGAGAGGCAGGCAGGCTGACTTCAATTTGGCTCACAGTTATCACTAAGTTGATAAGAATGCTTCGAACAACCGTCTACAATTGGCAGGACGAGAGCCGGGTGTTTTGAAAGCAGCCTGCGTGGTTTCAGGTTTCGGAATTTTGCGAACCTTTCTTTTTCTTCGCACAGGCGAATTGGTTTTTGCCAACCCCAAAACCTGTCCGAATTCTTTTTCTTTCTTCTATGAGGCCACGTTGGACTGCTTCCCATGGTTCCTTACAATTTGACCAAGTTGGTCAGCCGTGCGATAGTCGATGGAAAGTTGCCACTGAGTCGGTTGTTGGAAAGGTCCCTACAACATTCAGTGAAGGTTGGCATAGGGGAATCACAACAAGGTCAAGGGCTTGACTGGAGGAGTTTTTTACCGTCAGTCAGATGGATGTGGTATATACATAAAGGAGTGCTGGCAGATGGGAGATTGTAAAATGATTTGACCATAAATTTCTTGTATGCTAGAATAAAGATTGTATACGGCTACAGTGCATAGATTGGTGTTGACAGGTGGAATCTGGTGCTGTGTGTTCTGGCCTCACAATTCGGTCAGTTGGATGAGATTCCCAAGAAGTGTTGACTGACTGAGGTCGACTGACTAAGGTCGACCGACGAAAGTCAATTTACTGAGGTTGACTGACTGAGGTCGAGTGACTGAGGTTGATTGACTAAGGTCGACTGACTGAGGTCGACTGCCTGATGTCGACTGCCTGAAGTTGAGTGACTGAGGTCGACTAACTAGGTCGACTGACCGAGGTCGGCTGAGGGCTCGTCTAAGTGTTGAAAGCGCTCACCCGTATCTGGCTGACGGTTGTGAGCGTGTGCTGCTCGAAGAGCTTGGCACGCTCGTAGCACCACGTGTCGAGGCGGCGGTAGCGATCGCCAAGGTACGTCGCGTGCGTCGAGTGCCAGAGCCACGCCGCGAAGGCCACACCCGATAGCAGCCATAGCGCAAGAAGGACGGCGAAGACAGGGCCTGCCAGGCGGTTTTCCGTGGCGATTTCAGAGTAATTTTCCCGTTCCAAATTTTCGCCAGTGGCGGAAGTGGCGCAGATAGACGACTCGGAATTGGACTTCGCATTTGTACGCATTTTGGGTCGTAACCTTACTGTCGGCGACAGTACTCAGTACTCAAAACCGTGATGCCGTTGGGTGACCCAACCGCATCGATTTGCGACCAAGCTGCATCATCACATTGAAATTGCATGCGCCTCCTCGACCGCGGCTACGAGACGGCGAGCTTTTGGTACTCAACGCGGCGAAAGCAGCGGCGATGTAAATAGTAGGACGAGAGCTTGAGAAAGCCACATTCTCGGACATCATGAAGTGCTAATCACTATATGCGATCTCCGTTTTGGATGTGTAATGCCTTACCTCGAAACACTACTAAGTTCTGAATCCAGCGTTTGCCGCAGAAGAGCAACGACAAGTCCCTGCTACTCCAGCGCTGCAGTCGACCTCGCAGCGCGTTAAATGGAGACATTTGCTAGATACTCTGCAGCGTTCGTACATCATGTTTGGGTCTCGTGGGAAAATCTCACGACATACTGCTATTCGTCACCTGGCATCTACTCGTCACGTGTAATTGGAAAACTCGTCTGTTGGCAACAGTACAACCTTTCAATGCGGCAGAGACTTGTTGGGGCGGAGCGGAACCGGAAGGGAAAGAGGTGGGGCAGAGAAGGGTGTCACCAGAGAATCAGGGGGGTGGTGAGAATGTGGCTGCAATTCGGCGATCCGCCCACAGGCCAGTTCAGGATGAATCATGGAAGGCTGGTTCAATGGCTGACCTGACAGTTGTTCCTTTGCTCAGGAAGCACGGCCAAGCTACACCAAGGTCCCTTTCTCAGGGTATAAAATACGGCTATTCTTGCAAATCCGTATGGTTTGAAGGCGCGTGTCTTTTGAATTTTATTGCAAAGTTCAAGTTTTTCAGTCGATTTTTTACGTTTGAACCTAGGTCGACCTGTACTCGAGTATCTCAACTTTTGGGTCCCGACTCGCGATTTTTTTCTCTCGAAAATCACATGGCACAACAAAGTTCGACTTTAGAAGTTGAACTTTATACTGTAAAATTCGAGTCGCGCCCCAGTTTCTTAGGTTACCCGATTTGACGACGTAGCTCCTGGACGAATCCGTAATCAGTAACGAGGTACGGTGTCGTTCGTTACCATCGCAAACGTCGCACATTCACTGTGCATGAGAAGAAGAACCCCCCATGCGATGAGAAGAATTTCCCGCCGACGCGAGAATAAGAGGCGGGAAGTTTGACCACAGTTCCTGACTCCACAGCGTGCCCGAACAGTAACTGCAGACGTAATGATTACCAAGTGTATGGGGCAAATCTTCATACGGTGTGGGAATGGTTGTGACACCTGCTTTTCGACCAAGCCACTTCATTCGGTTTTTATGGGGAAGTACCGGTATTGTTTCTCAGCCCGGTGGAAGGGTACATATCAGTGTTGCTGGCATGCCAATACCATTCGAAACACATCACAATGGTTGTCACCGAAATAAACCACGCGGTAGAAAAATCCAAACGAAAAAATTTGTTTGCGGTTCATTCTCCGAACGCAGACCGTGAATACTCGTTCCACTTCAATCGACTGTTGAGGTTCAAATGTTTCACTTCTTCCTGCCATTTCTGTTGCAGGAAATGACCTGGCACCAATAATTACATTGCAGTCGCGTTTTTCCCTTGAAAGTTGTCCTTTTTTGTGCGACAGCCCAAACCCAACAATGGTGGGAGACTGGTTGCGTTTTTGCTATCGAACAGGGCCTTTGGTTTACACAGCTGAGGCAGCAATGTCAGCAATGTTTTGTTTTCCACATCCTCGATAAAATCGGCATTTCGGTAATATGTTGCTAAAATTTTACAACGCCCATCTTCTGCCTAAAAATCATATAATGGTGTATAGCTAAAAAATATGGAATCAAGAAATATGCGTTATGAAACAAAAAAAATGCAAATATATTGTGGAACTATTCCAACTCTCACATCTATCTGATATTTGTTTATGTCACAAAAACACACCGAACCAGGCCCTCGGATTCGTTTTTGGCCTGTCTGATTCGTCAGACTAGTACACAGTTTTAGTCTGAAACTCTCAGAGTTGGCATAAAAAAAAAGCATGAAATTTCAGAGTGTCTTTAAATAAAAGTTTGAACATTCAAAATCAATGTATTCAATATTTCATCATAATTCTATTCAATGTTTCATTGATCTGATACCGAAACGTGCAAGACTAAGGGGATTTCCGGGAGAACATGCTCTGACAGGGCGAATTTTTGTGTCAGGGCGAATCTTGTGGTGTGAAAGGGCGAATCTGCAATGTCAGGTGGAATCGTTTTGTGATTGGATGAAGTTGTGCTCTGACGGCGCAAATCTGTGGTGTCAGGGCGATTTTGCTGTGATTGGGCGAAGCTTTCTGCTGTAAGGCGCGGATTTGCTGCGTCAAGGCAATTTTGCGTTAAAAATGTAAATCTGCTGTGACCCGTGAAGTCCGAATCACCAGTCAAGATCGTGTTTGTACTGTGAATGATCAAAGTACACTCCCGGAAAACTCTGAAATTTCAGAGTAAGCCTTAAAAAAAAATCTGAAACTTTCAGAGTTGAGGCCCTAAAAAGTCTGAAATTTACAGAGTACATTGAAAAAAAATATGGAATAGCAGAGTTTTTTGGCCAAATCAGAGAAAAAAGTCTGACTTCTGAGGGCCTGCACCGAACTCTATCAAGTACCCTTTTTTTTATCTATTAAACTTATTATAGTGCGTTTCGACATTTGCTGATGTAATAAAACTGTTAACTTGAATAAATATTGAAAGAGATTTTTAGGAGGACCTTGGATAGGGTAGGTTTGCTAGAGTTGGTAGCGGAAGTCTTGTTGTAATGTGTTGGAGTAAGCAGAGAATTATCTATGTCAAATTATATTTGTATGTCTGTAGGTTGCAGTAGGGCAGCTTACATAGAGTACAAACCTTTTAGGGTTTCCTTACTTGTACTTCTGTTTCGTGCTAGTGATGTCATTTCTTGCCTTAGAATTCTGACATGGTATTCAGGGCACGTCCGTCCGTAGGATCGCTCCGTTAGGGCCCACCAATCGTTCGTACAGCCCGTTTTTCCTGCTCTGCCCTGCCCAAGCGTAAACTGCCCTGCCCTCACAGCGTCATCCGCACTCCCCTGCCCGCGCTACCCCACAAGCTCTGCCCTGCCCTGCGCACGACTCCCAAGAGGGGATATTCGTTGCCCGTACATCAGGCGCACGGGTCCCCAGACTAGTGACCCCTGTTGGAAGACTGGGCACACTGAGTATTGTTGCTTCTTGCGTCTCGAGGATGCCTAGCGCACCGAGTACGGTGATGATATGGAGATCCCCAACGGGTTAGGATTGCTAGCGAAGGGGGTGGATGTCTTTGCTCTAGACTTTGACAAGATCAATGCTGGACTTTATGCTAGGTATGTTGGTTCTACTAGTGTCTAGGGTGTCTGTTACTCGTGTGTGCCTCGCACTGTTGGTGTAGAGGCTGCTGCTCTAGGTGCTTGTGAGTTTGCTGCCACAGGTGCTACTCCTGCTGAGGCCTTCCACACCTTCACATATGACTCAAGGGCATCTCGTTGCTTCTTCCGCAATTGCACCACAGTCACACCACTCACAACACATGTCCCAGTCGCTTTGGCTGACCCCTCTTGGGGCCCAGTCGTTGCACGAGCCTCCACTGTCCTCCGTATCTGGCAGTCCCCTCCGAATCTCTCCCGGGTCTCCACCTCCCCTCGTTCTCTACGAACTTGGTTAGTAATGCTGTCCTCCAGGACGAGTTGGTCACTACCACTACTCCTGGGGGTGAGCGGGTGGGGATCTGTATGTGCTCAAGCACTGGCCGCCACCTCAATACGTTTACACGGAGACTTGGGTCGGGATTGTACACACTGACCACTGACTCTGCACAAGTGGATGCGGCAGGTCAGGTGGCTGTGTCTTGTCAGTTAGTTGCGTCTTGTTCGTGTCGTCTTCTCACGCACCCGTCTCTCCTCTCGCACCACTATCTTGGTCACCCCTCCCTGCCTCGCCTGCGTGGCATGCGCTCTCGTCTCTTTGTCTCTGGCCTCCCCATGTCTCTGCCCCCGCTTCCGCGCTCGCTTGCACCGCCCTGCCTTCCCTACGTCAAGGGGCGGCAGCGCGCCACTCCTCATCGCCCACTCGTAGAGTGCTGCTGGTTCTTGGGGTGCTGACTCTGGGGTTGTTGCGAGTCCTAGTGCTGGGGTTGTGGGTGCTTTTGCTGGAGGTTCTGGCGTTGGACAGC